ATTTTCAGGAATTACATGTTCAATATTGCTAACAAAAGTAAGGTAGCATAGATCAATGCGATATTTTACCTCACGTCGAATGTCCAAATATGTAGTCTGAAGCATATCCAGTCCTTTTAAATTTATTATATGCTCTGTTTTTGCCAGATATTAGTTTTCTCAGAGGGCCATCATACCATTTTGGATATTTTTGGTTTTTTATTTTTCTTTTAGGAACATATAAGTCAATGGCCTTAAAAAGGTGTTTATAAAACATATCCACCATTACATCGAGATCAACAGTACTGTATAAAAAAGACCAATCAGTTTGTTCCAAATATAAGTTAAGTTTAATAAAATCTGCCTGAGGATACTGATATATCAATAGCTCATGATTAATTATCAAAGGGCCAGTGAAACTAAAACTTAAAATTGTTTCTAAACAGGATGATGGTAAGAATCTAAAGGTAACAAAGGCATTTGAGATTCTATTACAGAAATGTCATTAAAATCGTCTGCAAAAATTAAGTCCAGGAATCTTCTACGGCTGTTACGGATGGAATTCAATTGCTGAACCTCGAGAAAAAACATCGATTCAACTAAAACTGCAGCCGACTGCGTCGGAACTCGATTGGGGACAAGTTCAACAGGTCATTTTAAATATGTTTGTTTGTCTTAAATCAGAAAATCCAAATATTTCACAAACAGATGCAGTTAAACGAATATGTAAGTTAACAAAAATTCCCTATTCCACAATTTATTTCGTTATTAAACGAGGCGTTATTGAACACAGTTAAAAAAGAAAACGTGTCGTCAGCCGTCGGATAGATGATGCATCTAAAGATGTCATTCGACGAACGGTTTACAACACGTATAAAAAAAACCAAGTCCCAACCTTAGAGATACTTTTTAAAAAATTACAAGATTTTGAAGATTTCAAATATAAATCATTATAGTCACTTTGACAAATTTTAATAACTTGTGGTTTTAGATATGAAAAGTTAGATAGCCGAATGTGCATTATGGAGTCGCGTCGAATTGTGGAATTACGTCAAATTTATTTAAGGAAAATTTTTAAATCTAGAAATAGCAATGGAAATATAGTTTATTTAGATGAAACATGGTTCGACACTCATGATGTCGTTCAACGTGGTTGGGCAGACGGTTCACAAAATTGTGTTTTAAATGCACCATGCTCGAGGGGGAAACGAGTCATAATTTTACATGCCGGAAATGAAAATGGCTTTCTACCAAACGCTTTGCTACTTTCAGCAAAAAATATCAATAAATCTCTGCTGAATTATCATGAAGATATGAATGCAGCAGTTTTTGAGAATTGGTTTGCTGAACAACTTTTACCGAATATTTCACCAAATTCAGTCATTGTAATGGACAATGCGTCATATCATTCCCGGCAAATTCATAAGAAGCCAAATAGTGGCTCTAAGAAATCAATTATAATACAATATTTAAAAGATAATAACATTGATATTCCTGCTTCCGTAAAAACAAAACCACAATTGTTAGAAATTGTTAAAAGTAACAGTATTATATTGATAATTTTGCAAAAGATGGTGGTCATACTGTATTGAGGTTACCACCTTATTATTGTATACTTAATCCAATTGAGTTAGTTTGGTTTCAGTTAAACAAAAACTGAGACGTAATAATTTTGAACCTACCTTAACAAATGTGGTTTTGGAAAATATTAATGGCGTTTTTAAAGATCCGTCTTTGACTGAAGTTTGAAAAAAACAGCATTAATCACGTCATTAAAAAGGAAAGAGAATATTATGTTTTACCTTTTATAGCTCCAGTAGTTATAAATCCAAACCTCGATTCCTCGACAGACGGTTCTGATTTAGATTCGGATTAACTTTCTTATTTTTCATTATTGGTAATCCGAGAGTCATCACATTAATACATTTATAGTTTTGTTTTATTTGTAAAGAATTTATTTTCCTTTATGGTTTTTACTTTAAAATTTCGTTTTCCAGAAAAAAAAACGAATGGGGTACAAAAAGGGATCAGTTCACGTCTGGTACCCTGTTTAAACCAAACGCCCTTACAGGCAGGAACAATTTACTCGTCAATTTACGATTTATAATTTAATATTCAGTTGTAGCAAGTTAACGAGCTATAATAAAAAATTTTTTTAAGTTTCAAGTAGAACTATAATTAAGTGCATCTGTCTAAATAACAGCGTTTAATGCCTTCCCATTATTGATAATGGAAGAATTATACCGAATTAATAATTTAATTTATTTAATTTTAATAATAAAAAACGATACGCCCATGTGCGCGGTTCCTTTGAAGTCGGCGCTAGTCGGTTATAATGCCGTGTTGGCTTGTGTGTAGAAAGACTATAGCTGTGAAACAAATAATTATAATAGAGAATTGTATATTTTTTACACCCATTTGGATAGCAGCTCATCTACGCACAGACTACATAACGAAAAAGTATGCTATTGCTTTCAACTGAACGAATATATTTCATATCCATTCTATGTAGTGAGAAGACTCTAAAAAATTAAAACAACCATTCACAGTCATGTTTTAATCACCCAACTATTATTATTTTTAAAATTTTAAATAAGTGACAATTCTGTCAAACTATCAGTATATTTTTTAGTTATTGATATTAAATATACAATAAAAAAAAGTTATTCTTGTGTAGAATCGATAAATAATAGCATTTCTGTTTTTATTTCGTCTATAATTATAAATAATTTGTTAATTTAAATAAAACTATATGAAGTTAATTTAATTACGAGATTTAGACGCAACAAAAAAAAGTGGTTAACGTTCTTGCTTTCCACGCTGAAGACTCGACTTCGATTCTCGGATGGAAAAAAATAAAATGAACTTTTTTTTTCGTTCATTTCATTTTAAAAATTATTAAAAGTCGTAAATTATTTTAAAATTGGTTATTTTGTCTTAATAACCAAAAATATTTTTTTTATTTGTAAATTTTCGTTAGTAGGTCGTAAAAAATATTCTGTACAACTCGAGTGGATTTTCCACATCGCACTCAGACAACTGAGCACTTCGCCTACGGCGTCGTGCTCAAATTTCGTCTTCGTGTGATATGGCTATCATATCCACTCTTGTTGCACAAACTACTACATAATTCAATTACCATAATATTAAAATGATTCTTTTACTGTGCGTCTAATTATTAAATACTACAGAAAATAATGATCTTCATAACAATACTTTTGTGTAACATGAATAGTGTAATCATTAACTACATAGATTTATACTCTATTACGACAATAGAGTTTCTTTTGCATTCATAGAAATAGGTTATTATATTTAAAGAAAATAATTATCTTCATAACAGTACTTTTCTGTTACAAAAATAGTGTAACTATTAAATATATAGATATAAATTTCATTATGAAAATAGTGTTTCTTTTGCATTTACAAAAATGTTACTATATTTAAAGACAAAATTATCTCTTACTTTTGTAGTTGCTGTTTATAGTGTAATCACTAAATATATAGGATGTTTCATTAATGTGTGTAAATATTTTCACTGAAAAATTTTTATTGCGAAGAAGGCATTAGTACTTTGGAAAGAAATAGCAATGACTCACCTGTTAAAAATAGTGAAAATGCACCTTCTTTCTCCCAACAAACTGAAATTTACGATTATGAATCTGAAGAAAATGCAGTGAAGAAAATTTTAGACATAAAGAACCTATTGAAAAAACTGAAGTTGAGGAAGAAATAAAACCAAGGGAAAATGTTGAAGAAAGTTTAACCAAATTCATTCCCCCATCTGCAGAATCTAGTATGGAAACCAAATTATTATTTTTGGCATCTCATCCAGTTCAGCCTAGTTCTAACAAATTTAAGGCAGAGCAGGTATACTTTCGAATTCTATCTAATAAAGATTAAATTTGTCGAAATTGGTTATCTTTTTCCATTCAGTTAGACAAATTCTTTTGTTCCTTGTGTATGGCGCTTAGACTAGGAGTCTAAGGTATACCGTTTAGCTCACAAACTTCAACATTCATTACAGGCTATAATGATTTTCGGCATATACGGAGTGGCCCAAAAGTCTGGAAACGGCCAATTATCTCGTAAATTGCTAGTTCTAATTGTACAAAATTTGGGGTACACCTATTTTGGGATACGGAGATTCCAGATTTGATATTTGCAATGTTGCCAGATTTTCTGTTTCTCTTATATTATTAGTCACTTTGGTTTTTCAAATTGATCACCCTATATATTAAGTCATTATTGGAATCTCCTGTTTAATACGAGTTCAACCATATGCAACACTTATGATTTTATGTAGGCTGGAAGGTCTTAAATAAATAAAACAATCATGGAGAAATGTGGTAAATGCACTCTATCATCGATTAGGGTACTGTCAACTCACAAATGAAGCACATTTTGAACACTTGATAAAGTAACCATTATGTTAAAAATGGTGTAATCTTTTAATTGTTACGTTTTAATGTTGTTGTAAATAGTTTGTATTAAAAAATTTATGAGACAATTAGGCGTTGCCAGACTTCTGTTTTATTTATTTAAGACCTTCGAGACTACATAAAATCATTACGGAAAATCTGGCAACATTGCAAATATCAAATCTGGAAACTCCGTATCCCAAAATAGGTGAAACCCAAATTTTGTACAATTAGAACTAGCAATTTACGAGATAATTGGCCATTTCCAGACTTTTGGGCCACTCTGTATATCAATCCGTCAAAATTCATGAATTATCGCAATGTCACATGCAAGCAGTGGATACATATTTTACTATAAAGCGGGGTAAAAACATTGAAAATTTTATAAACAAGGATATGCTGGATAAAAAGAAAGAAGAAATAGCAAGAAATAGGCTTTGTTTACTAAGAATAATTGATATAATTTGTTTCATTCCGAAATTGCTTACAGGGGGAAAAATAAGAGTGCATATAATCTAACAGATGAGGATACAGAAGGAAAAGGAAACTTCCTGGAGCTAGTTTTACTATTGGCAAAATATCACGATATATTGAAACATCATGTGGATATGGCAGCTAAGGACGCATTGTCAAGAAAAGCATAAAGACAGCCGTGGCCAAGGTAATTTAACTACATTTTTAAGCAAAACAACGGTAAACAAAATAATAACTATATTCGAAAATGAAATTAAATTAAGAATAGCAAACGAAGTTAAAGAAGCTGGAAATTCTAGTGTTCAAATTGATTCGACCCAGGATATTAGCGTGGTTGAACAATTTTCAATTATAGTTCGCTATATAGATATTGAGGGTAAAGTAAAAGAAAGGTTGTTAGATATTGTTCCAGCGCAGATAAGTACTGGACTGGCTCTTAAGACCAAATTAATATTTGTTTTAAATAACTTAGACCTCGATAAGACAAAAATAATTGGCTGTAGCTTCGACGGCGCAGCTAATATATCAGGTCAGTACAATGGGCTTCAACCCAATATTAAGGCCTTTTCACCAAAATTTCTGTTTACATGGTGCTATGCACATATACTTAATTTAATTGTTTGTGATAGCACTTAATGAAATCAAAAAATTAAATCTTACTTTGGGTTGTTAAATCGAGTACCATGTTTTATTTCGGAGTCATATAAAAGAGTCCATTTATGGAAAACGTTAAAATCTACTCACACCCATGTTAAAAGATTACAAAAAATTGGAGAAACTAGATAGTGCGCAAAGAGTAAGACTGTTTCTAATTTATTTGGCACGTTTGACGACCATTCTAAAGAAATTTATTCTACGTTAATATTTGTTTTATTAGAAATGGCTGAAAGTACAGATGTTTACCCAAAAACATGCTCCGAGGCGCAGTCATTAATTGAAAATTTCTGCAAATATGAAACTCTTTTAATATCATTTATCATAATAAAAATTTTTGAATACGTGACTCCTGCCTCAAATTATCTTCAGACAGAAGGTATTGATTTTATCCAAGCATACCATTTGGTAACAAATGCGAAAGCAATGCTAAATGAAATGTATGACAAATTTGATTTAATTGTTAAAAAGAATAATGTATTTTTAAATTATCTAAATCAAATTGAGACCATTAGAAACAAAGATATTGTAATTTAACATGAGCTGCCACAACAAAGGTTAAAAAAAGGAAACGTATGGTAGACGAAACAACTGAAGATTCCGTTATTACCGATCCAATGAAAAAATTTGAAATTGAAGTATTTAATTTAGTAATTAATCAGGCAATTCAAAGTATAAGCCAGAGATTTGAAGCCAACAAACAAATTAAGGAAGATTTTTCAGGTCTTGTCCCCAGAAATTTTAAAAGCTTGGATTTATTAAGCGATTCCAAATTTACTGATATTGCAGAAAAGATTGGGATAGATAATGTGAAATTAAAAAATGAATTATTCAGTTTCACACAAATATACCTCGATATTAAAAAAAATGTAGAAACAGACCTCTGCATAAATAAGTCTAATACAAATGAATGTGTAGGTTGCGTACACTGCACTTTTAAAATATTAAGAGAATACAGTATGCATATATCCACTTTTTCAAATTTGTATATGACTTATAAGTTTTTAATTACTTTATCTTGCACCCAAGTGGCATGCGAACTAGTATTTTCTCTATTAAAAATAATTAAAAATAGACCGAGATCTTTATTAGGTCAAGAATTATTGCAGGCCCTTCGATAAGTTAGCTTCCACAAGCTCAACTTATTATAATGCTTTGACTTTTTAAGCTTCGTTTTTTCTGATTGTGTATACCTATCATTAATAGGCTAGTCTTTTTTATTTTTGTTATGTTCTTTAAGAATGGTAGTTTTATTTTGTATTGTGATTTTGTATGTGTACCTGTTTATTTTAATTATTTATGTCTGTTGATAACGTTATATTTTGTTATAGAAATTTTTTAGTCAGATTTAGTCAAAGAGTACTTACTTATTTGGACTCCTATTTTTGACTATTTAATATTAATTTTCTTATTTGTTGTTGTTTATGGAAGTCAGGTTTCTTTTTTTAATGTTAATTTGTGATTTTTTACTTTTTTTACTTTTATTTATTTTGGTTTTAATATTTTAAAATTTTTCGTTTTGTTGTTTATTTAAAAAAGTTTTGAATTAAAATTATCCTTTATTTTTATTTATTACCTACACAGTATTTATATAATGTTTTAAATGCATAATTTTACAGTTTTTTTAGATTATTTGAAACGGTCGCAAAGTAGGTACTTGAAATTTTCATGATTTTGGACTATCTACTATTTTAACACTACTTTTTAATATATAAACTCTAAATATTTTTGTCTTAAATGTGATTAATCACCTTTATGGGAATAATCAAGTTGGTCAAAGAGAGTAGGATAGGGGTCCAATTATTCGTGGTGCCGATGGGGCCAAATTTAGCCAATCCGATTCTGTATACGTGTAGGTATAGGTAATAGGTAATATAAATTAAAATACTTCATAAATAAAAATATTTATTTTCAGAACAAAACAAAAAAATAAAATATTCTAGGGTTTTTACAACATAATTTTTAACACGTGATTTTGTTATTAGTATTTAAATTACAAAATAATTTAAAATGTCTTATTATTGTTTATAGATTTTGGAATTTTTTTTACAAATAAAACAAATCATATTTAATCCAGGTAACTTTTATGTAAATTCTGAACAACCCTAACCAACTCTTTAAAAATAGTAATATCTCGGATATTTAATTTTGGCTCTTCAGAGTAGAACTCCTTGATATTTATTTATTTATTTATTAATAAAACTCAAACAGGCCTTACGGCCTTTTTACATGAGTAGTACAATACATAATATACATAATAATATATAATATAATCATACATATGACATTATGACACTTTACATTTTTACTTGTATGAATGGGTTTGAATATCAAGACTACAAAGCTTCACAACAATCAGCGGAAACAGCATACATATTTAAATACTTAAAACATTAAGGTACTCATTAAGATTTCTTTGATACTGTTTGTAACTCACATGCCAGTCAAAGTTACACAAAGAATTAAAATTATTTGCGAGTCGAAGTACAAATGAAAGAGGAGATTTTAGGGTACTATTGGATATATTGAATATAAAGGGAGACCTAGTGCGCCTAGGAGGAACATTAAATGGTATGAGTAGCAGTAATTCATTTGAGTTTACTTGGTTATTTAAAATTTTGTATAAAAATGTCATCATAAACTGTTTCCGTCTATTAATCAGTGAGGATATTCCAAATTCTTGTCGTAACATAGATGTTCGTACGTAATTGTAGTCTGGCCAATGACGATGTTTTTTGTAGCAAAGATACCTAAGAAATTTGTTTTGAATTTTTTCCAATTTATCTAAGTAAATTTGGGGTTGTTGACCCCAAATAATCGAGGCATATTCTAATTTTGTCCTAACTAGTGAGTAGTAAAGATATTTTATAGTATTTAGATTAGAAAAAGCTTGAGTTTGTCTAATAATGAACCCTAATATACGGTTAGCACTAAGAGCAATTTTATTTATATGCGAACCAAACGAAAATTGATTGTCGTAGCTTAAACCGAGGTCTTTAATTTCGGATCGTCTAGTTAAAATTTGTTGGTCCATCTTATAGTCAAATATAATAACATTGTCTCTCTTACGGTCAATTGTAAGTATAAAGCATTTCTTAATGTTAAATTTTAACTTATTTTTTTCACTCCACGTATAAATGGCATTGATATCTTTTTGTAAAGCTACACAGTCTCTAACGGTTTTTATGCTTTGATACATTTTAAAATCGTCAGCAAAAAATAAATATTTAGAGTGTTGTATATAAGAAGGGAGATCATTTATAAATAAAATAAACAACAATGGACCCAAGTTGGATCCCTGTGGTACTCCCGAATTGGCTTCATACTTACCTGATGTATTTCCATTGAACTTGATTATAAAATGTCTATTTTCTAAATACGTTTTTAATAATACTAACAAATTCATAGATAAACCATAGTTACACATCTTTTGCAGCAAGATATCATGATTAATATGATCGAAAGCTTTAGTAAAATCAGTATAAATTATATCTAGTTGCGTTTTGTCCTCCAGAGCTTTCGCTGCATTTTCTGAAAATAAAAGTAAGTTGCTATTAACAGATCTCCCTCTAATAAACCCATGCTGTTCATCTACTATGATATTTTGCACATGATTAAGTAATTTGTTATATAAAATTTGTTCAAATAGTTTTGAAGGTGCACACATAATCGCTATCCCTCTATAATTTTCGATCTCGCTTTTTTTCCGGACTTGTGAATAGGTGTATATATCGCCGTTTTCCACTTTAGCGGAAACTCGGAATTGGCAAGAATAAGATTATATATATGAAGTAAAGGAACTTTTAATAAATGACCACAGGCTTTTACAATATAAGGCGGAATATTATCTACACCTGCACACTTTTTTGGTTTTAATTTTTTTATAGCTTCATCAAAATCCGACTCATTGACCTCCTTTAAAACCAATAAATTATATTGATCTGATATATTTATATTATTTAAATCATAGTTAAACTTTTCAAGATTGTGTGCAGATGCCAAAAACACTGCAAATTTATTTGAGATATCTTTCTCGGGTACTGAGTTTCCACTAAAAGTAAATGAATTTGCATTGCTTTTATTACTTTTTATTTTATTTATAAAATTCCAAAACGTATTCAAGTCACCTAACATATCACTTTCTATTTTTTTGAGATAATTTCTATACTCTATTTTTATCATTGACTTTAATTGTCTTCTGGTAGCGATATACTTTTGTTGATAAAATTCAGATATGTTTCTCAATTTCCGACAATTATCTTTTTCTTTTAATAATCTTTTTATATCCGCAGTAAACCAAGTTGGAAATTGTTTAAATTTAACGGTTTTGTGAAATGGAACAGTTGCATTAAATATATTATTTATGTTCTCGTAAAAAACTTCCAAGGCAGTATTAGTATCTTTTTTCTCAGTGACATTATGGCGTGGTTTCAAAAATAAAAAATGTGTCCATATATATTTTATTATCTAAAAATAAATTAATTATACAGTATAAACCAAGTTAAACAATAAACTAAAAAAATAGTAGGTGATTATATATTGTAGTATAGTTCTGGGTATATGGAGATATATTATCCTATAATTATAAAAATCACATGCAAATAATTTCCTAAAATATAAATCCAAAATTTCAAATTTTGTGATTAGTTTTGCCAAAAATTATTTTGGATTTCACCGTTATAGTTGTGAAGGAATAAATTTAAAAATTGTTACAGACGAAATAAAAATCTCATTTTTGGTAAAGTTGTAAATCAGATGTATTGTTAATGTGCCAAAAATTAGATGTCTATCTCTTCTATAAGTATTTTTAAATGCCAGCACTCACATCCAAATTATGAAAGTTTAAGACGAAAAGTCCAAGGAGAAGAAAATAAATTACTAAAAGTTTTAAATTTTTGGATTTTATGTATAAAAAATCATAAATTCAAACTGTTTCATTTAAAAATGTCTAACTTAATTTTTTGAGATGTCATCCTCTCGTTTTCTTTAGGGAATGGTGGGGTAATATTTTTATACAAATATGTTGTAAATCAGGTGTATTGTACATATGCCAAAAAAGAGATTTTTATCTCTTTTCTTCATAAAATAGGTACTTACCAAAACATTTTTGGCTAAGTTTCTCCCCTTCCAGAATGCCAATTTTTTAAAAATTGTTTTTAAATGTTGTTTTTTTTTTGTAAATTGTAAAGATACCTCTTTTAATTGTTTTTATTACCATTACAGCAATAATCACTAGTCTTACATTACAAACCTTTCTCAACGTAAATATCGCATAACTAAACGGAATACCGAAATATCGAACTATAAAATAGAGATGCGTTTATAAATTTGTTACCTAGTAATATTTAGGTACCTAATATTAAAACAGCCAAGCGAAAGAATATTTAAAAGGGGAAAACAAATCGTTCCCATCTTTAACTCTAACCAAATTTTGTTTGTATAATTTTAACAGAACATCTGTTAAGTTTCCACTGGCGTTGTTAATTTGATATTATTTTGATTCCTGTAACACTTCTGATTTTATATCATTACATTTTAACTATTATTACTATCTTATTAGTTTTATTTTAACAGAATATGGGGTCTATTCTGTAACAATTCCTTTATATTTAACAGCCTTTAAAAATATTGGCGGCCTATAAAAATATGTTCGTATTCGTTAATTTACTTCTATCATTATTTAAACAGATTTCTTTAAGATAGTTCTCTAATGTATTTTAAAGATACGTTTAAATAGTGACCGAATTAAAGAAGAAAATATTTTTAAAGGCCGTTAAATATAAAGGAATTTTTACAGAATAGACCCCTTTGATTGTATATTTTTTCGTACAAGCTAATCATTGTTGCAGGGGCGTGCGGTCAATGGAAGCGGGAGAAGCACCGCTTCCCTACACTTTGAAATTTAAAAATAAACATTTTTTAGTTTACAATGCATAGAAATTAATATTAAATTAGGTACTATATTTTCTCTGAAACATTACGTAAACTTCGTAAATGTACTAACAATTCATTGGTGTAATGTGTAAATGCACGCACCACCCATTAGACAATTAATTGTGTAAAGATACACACCATATACTTCGAGTCCGTCGGCGGAAGCGCGTCTTGAAATAGCCGGTTCATCTTGCAAGTGATTTCGTTTAGTGTTATTGACCCTGCTTTGCGGTGACAGTAGTCAGTCAGTTTGTGCATGTGAAATACGGTCGAGAGGCAGCGATTGTTACGTCGCCTTACGCATATTGCAATTCGCACCGCAAATCGATGTGTGAGGAAAATCTTAGAGTTTAGATGGATTTCTGTTTGTTTTTCGTAGTTGTTTTTATGTTGTAAAATGGAAGAACTATGCACTGTGCCTGTGCTCTTTATTGAAAAAAGGATTTTCAAGTAAAAATTTTAAAGAGAAAACGGACATTAATAATTCTAATAGACTAAAGTCAGTAAATAAAATTACCAGGCATTTTCACGTAGGGTTCTATGAAGAGTATGAATGATTACCCGATTGCAAAATTTTGAAGAAATTGTTTAGCTGGCCTTGCCTACTTTTTAATATAGCCAAAAACACATTGGAACTCAGTCGGTATTACAGACTTGAATAATTTTCACAAAAGTGTAAAACGACATGTAAATAGCAAATCTCACAATTAAAGAAAAAACATTCGGGACCTATCGCATTGAACATAGTTTGGACAATCATTTAAAAATAAGCAACAAAATTCACAATGAAAGGGTAAAAAAATAGAGACGTCTTACAACGATTGATAGATGTAACTTGTTTACTGGGAGAGCATGAACTAAGTTTTAGGGGTCACAAAGGGATCCGCCAATCGAGGAAATTACATGGACCTTCTAAGTTTTATATCAAAATACGATGATACCATAAAAAGCCATTTTATTGATTCAAAGACTTTCCGAGGTACCTTAAACAGAATCCAAAATGATTTAATTAAATGCACTGCCGACGTTGTGATGGATCACATTAAAAGTGAAATTAAAAAAGCACCTTTCGTATCAAATGCGCTTGATGAAACCACAGATGTAGCAAACTTAAGTCAATTATCCATTGTTGTGCGATATGTATTGGACGGCATTCCTCAAGAGCGATTTTTAGGATTTTTGGACGTCACTAGCGAACGAACTGTAGATGCATTGTTTAAAATTGTTTGTGACATTATTTCAAGTTTAGAATGTGGTTCTAAGCGTGTTGCCCAGAGCTACGATGGTGCTGCCGTAATGGCTGGCTATTTAGGAGGCCTTCAAACTAAAATGAAAGAGAAGTTTAAACATGCAATTTTCGTTCACTGTATAGCATATAGACTTAATTTGGTTTTATCGCGAAGCATGGATAATATTAAAGATTGCAAATTTTCTTTTTGACCTTAGTGGTTTGGCTTCCTTCTTTTCAAAGTCATCGAAAATAACTCGCGCTTTGGACATTCACGTTTAAAGAAGGTTTCTAAAAGTTGCTCCGACGCGATGAAACTACAATGGACGTTTAGTGCAAACAGTGTTTCAATACCGTGATTCTTTGATAAACTTCTTTCAAGACGTTTGGGATAATAAAGAAACATGGGATGCTGAAACTGTTACTGCTGCTAAAGGGTATTTGCATTGGCTCAAACAAAACTTTGATTTCAATTTTTTGCTCAACATTTTTGCAGATATTTTCCCTTTTACTGACATTTTATTCGACATTTTACAGACAAAGTCAAATGACATTGGCTTTTGCATTAAACAAATTTATGATTTTAAAAATAAAATGAATAAAAAACGAGATCAGTTTGAACACTTTTGGAATAAGACTCAAAACATTGGCTCAGAACCTGAAAGAAAGAGAAATAGAATTGATAATGCCGACGACAGAGAAACCTCCTATCGCGTTTATACGCTGAAAATTTTTGATAATATTTAACAACAAATGATTTCTCGATCAAAACTTTAACGAATTAAAATTTGTTGAATTGTGCAATTTTAATATTAGTAACTATGATTCATCAAAATTTCCATCGGAAGCTTTTAATTTACTAAAATTATATTATGGAAATTTTATTCCAGCATTAAAGTCCCAGTTAAGTGTTGTTTATGAAACAACTGAAATTAGTGATAAAAAGGCCCATAAATGTGTTAAATTTTCTTATAATAACTGGTTTAAATAAGTTCCTTTGTGAAGTCGTCAAGTTGTGTGAATTGGTACTAATCATCCCAGCCACAAGTGCGTCAGTTTAGTGAAGGTTTTCAGCTTTAAAGCGCATTAAAAGTTTTATACGATATTCAACAAGTGAAGACAGACTCTCTAATTTAGCCCTAATATCCATTGAAAAACAGCTTGTTAAACAGTTATCAGAAAATCCAAAATTTTACGACTATAAGTATAAATAAATGTCAACTGCTGTGCGAAAAATGCTGGAGAAAATAAAAAAAACTTCAGTTAAATATTTTTTTTTACGTTTAAATAAACCAAGGAATCTTTTCGATGGTAAGTTTTTTTTTAGCTTCTAGTACTAAACTAGGTAATAAAGTAATAGTAACACTTCAAAAATCTCAATCTCGAATATCCGTAGTACTGAGGAAAAAAGCAAGATTTTGACAAAATGGTGAATGCGCCGCGAAAAATTTTCATCTGCGGCTCTGTGCTTACTGGTCTGCTGTATTTTTATACAATCGCTTCCCCTTCCAAAAATGTCGCCGCACGCCACTGCATTGTTGTAATAGTAAATAAACAATAGTTTAATTAAAAATATAAATGTTACAATTCTCTTATGTTACAGCTATCAAATCTCTGTCAAAAGCTAAGAGAAATGTGCTATTATCTCAATTAAAGATAACTATACATTTAATAAAATTCTATAGCCTGGACAAAATATTTATTATTATTTTGATAATGTAGTCTTTATTACATAAATCTAACACGTATTAATGAAAACGAAATGTTATATTAGCGATTCTTTAGTATAATAATAATTTATGTTAAATCAACAAAAAGCATTCTTTAAAACGTTAACAAAACTTGTTTTGTTAATAGAGCACATTTAATTTTTTGAGTGAACGTATATTTAAAATAATTCCTGTGAAATGTAGATGAAATACTTGTATTTTTTGAGACAGTTCTGCAGTTCTACAGCCTTTAGGCACCAGTCGTCACAGACCCAAACGAAACGAATTGCTGGACCATTGCTGATTTAGGCCAAATAATTTGTATAAACATCCAATTTATTTCGATGTTACACTGAAGATGGCTCCGAAACTTTTTTGGTTTTATATTACAAAAATGGCACGAGCCCAAACAAAATAAATTGTTAGGCCGTTGACCTCATTGCTTACAGAATCAGGACCAATGGTTTGTATGACCAGCTCATTCATTGTGATGCTTCCGTCAAGACGACATCGCATATTTTCGGAAGCCATATCTCGAAAACAATATGAGCCCAAACGCTAAATGAGCCCAAACGAGAGTCATCCTGGGCTATTTATCTATTTTCTTTTTCTGAAACATTGCAATGCTAACTTGACATCAGCTTCGATGTCTCTACTATCTTGTTAATATCAATTTGAAAATTACCTTCGTATAATTATTAAAATTATGTTATTTTTGTATATATTGACCCTTGTCACATCTTTTTAACGTCTAATCTTATCTTATCTTTTAGTCAAATATTTCTTAAAAAATTATTTAATAAAAAATATAAATAGCATTTGTTGAGCTTCAATCAATACCAGTAAACAATGTTGGCTCTTAATGTACTAATTATGATCCTAGTTGGAATTGCTCTTTGCAGCGCCGACGAAGATGGATCAATTTTGGTGCAAACCTCGAATGGGGTCGTTAAAGGATCTTATGGACAGAGAACTACTGGTAACCAAAAACTTCTTTACTGGTTCAGAGCGATACCATTTGCTGAACCACCTGTCGGTAATTTAAGGTTTGAAGTAAGTTTTTCCCATTAATACATTTAATTTTTATAGTGTAAGCATTTAAATTTTTTAATATAGAATAAAAAATCCATTTGCTAGGCACCGGTGGCGAAGAAAAATTGGACAGGAACATTGGATGTAACAATGGAACCACCTATATGTCTTCAAGGCTCAAATCCTCCCAAAGGAAGCGAAGATTGTTTATATCTCAAAGTTTACACCGATACGGTAAGATTGTTAGACCTACAATTGTTTAATGTTAGATTATTAGTAACTTTTTATATGACCTCAGGAATATACCAAGGTTTTATTTCGTTTTTGTCTCAAACAATTCATGTTTTTGATAAAATCATAAAATGTGTTTAGGTATTTTTTGATGATATGAATACTAATGTGTATGACTGTATTAAACAATAAGTCAACTATAAAGTAATTCAGCAACTAGAAAAAAAAGTTCGGCCTCTGTATAAAGAGCTTGAAAAAATTAGTATACGGAATTGGTTATTTGTCGGAAGTTAAACAGTATCTGCAAATCGATCTCTTTAGTCGCAAGTTCCGCCCATTGCCGGAAACATATTTTTTACTTGAAATTTTATTTAATTGTTTAGTTATGGCGCAACTCAAATGTGAAAGCTCTTTGGTTATCATGTGATTTATTTCTAAAAACCATTCCTGTAAGTCTTAGTTTGGCTAATGGTGTTGCAAACAGAGAGAAAAATATTGAGAAGAAAAATATTACTTTTATTAGCAAAACTTTTAATAGTTGAACATGGTCTGCCAGTGTAAAGTTTCTTATCCTGTAGATTAGATTTAACATTATTTGTTTTTGTCCACCGCGACCTTCTCAGATCTAGAGTGGGACTCCTTTATTTAGTGTATGTCGTTTGGCTTGGTCATTTTTGATAAGACTTGGTAGCTTTGACAGTGGCTCCTGCCTGTAGTTAGATGCGTCTGGCTATTCTTCACCTAGTGTTAGAAACCTCAATCTAGTCAGGCCTTCACACTGGTATAAAACGTGACTGATGATATTCACGGGCCTTCTTAGGCGGCTGTGTTTGGTAACGATTTGTCATTTTTGATACTGTAGATCTTTCTTGACCTTGGCCGATGATTCTTTAATGAACTGTTTAGCCTGTCTCAATTCTGGATAGTTGTTCCACCATTCTTAAGACTCTTGTTGTCTCCAATGTTTCATTTATGTTGCGTATTCTCCTTAAACTCATTAAAATCATTCTTTTCGACTTGGGTCCAAAGATTCGAGCAAAAGACGAGTTCATCGTGTATGGGAGGACCCTGTTTCAATGATTCTCGGGCTGGTATTCGAATTTATAAATTTCATTCAAATTTATAATTGAGGTTGAATCCCTATACTGCACCTTCTGTCCCCATTACAGTAAAACAACAGAGGCCTTATATTTTTTATTTTTTAAATTAGTATTTCTCTTTACAAATGCACTTGGTCCATCGCTGCTCTAACATCTCAACAGCCTCCTGGAACATTTTTTGCTCAACCTCTGAAAATCACCTCTCTACAGCTTGCATTTTTCGCACGTGGGTACGAGATCTGGCGAATATGGTGGGTGCTCAACTAATTCAAAGCCTACTTCATGCAAATCAGCTATAAAAATAAAATATGTATGAGTGGGAGCATCATCCTAACGGAACAGCACACTGTTTCTTAACTTTCCTCGTCGTTTCTCTTTAAGAGCGTCTCGTTATTTAAAAATCTATTTTGCGTAATTGGCTCCTTGTAATGCTCTGTCCCTTTTGCAAAAAAGTCAGTCAGGATGTTTCCTTGAGCATTTATTTATTTATTTATTTGTAAAGTTTGGGGTACTTACAGGTTAAAACCCAATTATAGTACCCACTAATACAATTTTTAATACTAAATTTACACTAAAATTAAAGTAAATTAATTTTACAATTATTACAAAAAAAGAAATCTTATTTCAAAAATATTAATTTTACTTGTTTCTTAAAACCATACAATAATACAAAAAAGATGTCCACATCTAAACAATATTTGTTAAATACAATGCACATTCTGTTAATTGGTGAATTTATGCCTAAATTAGTATTATAATGTTGATTGTAAAGTAATTGTCTGCTCCGAGTATTTTTGGGAGGGACATGCAATGAAATTAGATTGAATCAAATCGACTATTTATAATTTTATATAGGAATGTGAGATCATTTATTATTCTGCGATGTTCCAGTGGAATAATGTGATACAGATTTTTTAGTTCGGTCAAATTCCTATCGACATAAACATTTGTAACTTGAAAATTTAAAAATTTTACGAAGTTGTTTTGAAGCCGTTCAAGTCTAGTTTTATACAAATTATAATTTGGATTCCAAATTATGCTCGCAAAATTAAGCCGACTGTAGATATAAGCAAAGTAGACGGACAGCAAAACCTTTCCAACAGACGGCATTACTTTGAATTTGCGTGGAGGGGGAGAACC